CTGCTATAACCATTTACTAATTAGCAGGTAAAGGTTCCTGCTTGAATTCAAAATCACCAAAAGCTCTGGAAACTGATAAAGTACCATTTAGACGACCTTATTCATCAACAAAGCCTCCAGCATATCTAATTCGCGCCAATTCATTGCTTGGAAGGTGATCTTTAGTAAGTTCAATGGTTTCATCATCTCTCATCAATAAACATCGAGAGTCTCCTAAATTGGCTACATAAAGCATTTTTTCTACTATTAAAGCTACGACAGCAGTAGAACCTATAAATGTATCTTTTGATTTATTATAAAATATATACTTTTGATTTCATTATTTTTAATCATATCGTCCAGCTATAAAAATGTGTCATGAAGTGATTGCATAAAATCCATTTTTTCAAATGCAGGTTAAGAAATAAGCACATTCATGAAATTATCAGCTAGAAATTTCGAAATCCCAGAACCACCATGTCCATCAAATACAGCAAATAAAGAAATATTTTCAATAAAATTAGGTTTCATCAGATGAGCATCTTCCATTTATAATCGCCATCCTATAGTTTAATATTAATTATTTACCTTGCATGGCAGTAGTATAACATGATAAATAACCACTAAATTAATATTCATGGGATTTCTGGGTATTTGGTTGGGATAAAAAAGATCCCATATATATTATTTATAAATAATAATTAAGTGCTGGTTTATTGAATTTTGTATTTAAGTTGTATAATATCAAGTAATAATTTATTTGATATCATCTATTGATGACAATTTATAATATGAAATATTATATTTTAATAATTGTCATATTATTACACAATTATATAAAATTCTTATATTCTTACTTCAATTTCTTTTACATCAAATTTTCATATGAGTGTTGTTCTAAGCATTATTTTTAATAATAATTCGTTTTTAAATAATAAATTTAATAAATTCTAAACTAAACAATTTCTAATAAATATATTCAACAAACATATGATTTAGCTAGAAATATATAATTAATTATAATATTAATATATCAACATTTAACAATTTCTTATTTTGATAAATAAGGTTATAATTTTATTAGTAAATTTGGTCTTCTTTTCATCAATGTTTTATCTGACCAAGATTAATTATTTACAATTTTATCATGTACTAAATGTGTCTTATTTTTAATCAATTAATTTAATGGTTTTAACATAAGTGATTACTATTCAGAATTCAAAGTTACTGCTTTATTTGTAATATAGGATGTGATGATACTATGTGATTTTTTCTTAAGCATACGTGATATAAAGCTTTTCTTTTTCGGCTGAGCTATTTTTAATGATTATTTTCTATCATTAAAGTTCACTCTTCTTTGATATGATCGAATTTAATCTAAAACAGGAGAAAATTCAACATAACTTTCAGTTTCTTATTATGTTTTGACTAAATATTGAGAAAGCTATTGTTAATAATTTATTAATTTTTCTTTTGAAACTAATACACTCTTTTTTGGCATTTAGAAACAAGTATGTCTTCGCATTGCCCCCTTTCTTAACATAATAAGGATATCTATCTTTCTTTTTAATTACTCCTCTAAATTTAATATTGGACCCTGATGTTATTCTTCAGCAATTGTTTTTGCTCTAGTATGTCTCATTCGAATGAATGGAGCCAAGGGGAGCGTTTTACTACGAAGTTTTTTAATTTTATTTTTTTATAGTCTACTAATGAATTCTATTATTACAGAATTTATTACTATACTGCATTCTTAATCGGTTAAGCTTTTTCTTTTTAGCTTTTTCTGCAGTTATATAATGATATTTAATGGTAGTTTTATGAACTTTATTATTAAGACGTCTTTATTTTTCACTTTATATTTCATGATAACTCCACCTCCTTATAATTTTCATATATGGTGCACTGCTTATTCTTTAAGTGCTGGCAATTGATTTTTCACTCTTAACCAAGGCTTCATACGGATTAAGTTTAGAAGGGAGTCTCTTTAAAAAATTCTTATCTATTGGTGGTTTCAAAAACATAGAACTCTTTGTTGGCTTATTTTTAGGTGTTGATAATAATAATGCATATAGTTCAGTCTTGAAACTAATTGATCTAAATAACCTTTTAGGTTTCATTTTTTTATCATTCTTCAATTGAGGTGATTTAAGCAATATTTTTTATTTTTTTGCAAGCCTTTCCAGTTGATTTGATGTTATTAAATTACCAAAGGCTAGATTTTGATGAATCATTTAATTTTATATTGAAATTAAGTCAATTATATGATAAACATCATAAAATATTTAGGTATCAGAATACTAAAAAAACTCAATAATAAAATTATATAAATTTATCTCATTCATCTTTATCACGATTTTATCCTGATGATTCAGTATGGCTAGATGATTAGGTAGTCTAAGGATAGTTATTTTCTTAAATTATTTTAATAGAAACTTACAAGAAGTGCTAAATTTATTTTATTGTAAAATTAGAGGGGATGTGATAACTTATTGTATTTAGTCATCAGTAACTAATAATTTAATATTGGGTTTTGCTTGAGCTGTATTTTAAAAATTTGGAGTTTAAGGTTACATATGATGGTCAGAAATATTTTATTGGTTTAGTTTATTATTTTCTTAATCTTTAAACTATGAAAATTAACTATCTGTATCCAATTCAACTGGAGTAGACTAAATTTTTATTATTTTTCTAATTTAATCATCTAATTCAATTTGTCCCTTGATTTATTAAGGGATTTGATTTTATTGAAAAACCTTTTTAAAATCAGGAGTTGAGGGTATTAATTTCTTGGTATGTGAATTCTATTATGGATTCTTATTCTACTTATTATTTAGAACATTATTCATAACAATTTTAGATCCAAAAAATCCTATTCCTATACCTAAAAAAGTGTAAAATATTGGGTCCATTATATTATATAAATTAAATTATTGGTTAAACATAGAAAATAACTGAATAATCCAATTATTGTATACGTGTTATATTGTAAAATCATTTTTTGCCTTTGTTAGCTTTAGCAGCACCTTTTTGAGCTTTTTATTGAGCTTTAACTTCTGCTTTTTGTGCTACTTTTTAAGCTGCAGCAGGTTTCTTCTTTGAAGCTTCAATTTACTTTTGCTTTCTGTCCTTAATTTCTCTGGCTGCTTATTCAGCTTATGCCTTTCTAGTTTCTAGATGTCATTAGAAAAATGTATTACTATCATCTTCCTTTCTTCTTCTTCTGATTTCTTCTAATGAAATACCAACAATGGCTCTTTATACTTTAAGATTTCTAATTCTTCTTTTCTTGGCTCCTTCATCTGTCTTAATTTTCTTATTCAATCTTCTCCAAGCAACAGTCCATTGAATTTCTTATGATTTAATCTTAATATAATGATGATTGAAATACTTTTCTTGCACTAAAAGCTCTACTCTTTTAATTCAAGTAGTAGAAGAGTCTGCCATCTTTGGCAACGAATCTTCTTCCATGTCCGGGATAGATTCTCCATTCACTAAAGGAGCACAAATCTGTCTTGATAACCATTATTTAAAAAATATTTAAATCTTAATATTCATTCCATTACTGAGTGTTTCAATGTTTTATCTTCAGGATCTTCAATCTCTCCAGCCCATTTCTTAGTTTTTAATTTTCCTTATAATTCATTCACAACATCCTATTTCTCTTCTTATGGTTCATTAAGTTTTTCTAATTCCCCTAATTTTTCTTCAATTTCTTCTAATTTAGCAAGTTCAATCATTTATTTAACTTATTTATCTTCATCTCCTTCTTCTACTTCTTCTTTATGTTCTATCTGTTCTGTCAATTTGTCAATAATTTCATTTTATTTAAGTAAAGCATTCAAATCTTCAACCAAATCATATTCTTCAATCTCATTATCTTATAATCCAACATAAGTTAATCCTATGTCTTCTCTCTCAAGAACATTAATGAATTCATAAATGGCTTTATCAGTTAAATGATTATTCCATAATTACAATTTCTTTAGATACTTCAAACTAGGCCATAAAATTGATGCAGCACTATCTGAAAATCCTGTGTTTCCTAAATTCAAATCTTCAAGTGTTTTATTTTTCTTGAGACAAAATGCCATTTATTTTATAGTTGTCAATTCCATTCCAATATCATTTAAATAAAGAATTTTAATAGTTTTATTTTTCTTCAATGCTTAAAAGAATGGAACTAGAGATTTAGATGTCAATGGATTATTTCCAAAATGAACTACTGAAAGATTTGGAAGACTATTGGTTGCCAATAATGTGGAAAAGCATACCAATCCTATATAATATAATTATTTGATTACCATAATCTGATATATTATTTGCTGGTAATTATAATTACTATAGATTTATTAATTCCGGTAATGCATAACAAAGTTAGATGAAGGTTGAATCATCAATGGAACATGAACTCATACTCAAGATTTTCAATTATTTGAAACTACTTGAAATCTCTATCAAACCTTAAATACCAATCTAATGACATAGGTCACAATTTTGCTACTTCAGTAATTTCATTATTCCCAATATAGATTTCCTTTAATTTATCATGCCATTGTAATCCTGTCAACATATCGATAAATCCTCTGTCAGTTATTTAATTAGCTCCAATATGAAATACTGCTAATTCTGTTTGGCATTCATGAAGATAGAGAGCAATCTATATTTAAATTAAATAGATCTTTTACAGTCAAAGCATCTAGATCATCTAATTTCTTTGCACTTACATCTAAAAACTTTCCACAGCTCTTTAATTCTTCCAATAACCATTGTTTACGCTTTTCAACCTTTTCTTCAAATTCTTTTTTAAATTATTCCTCATCAATTTCTTTTTCTTTTTAATCCATTTATAAATATTTTATTATTTTTGTAACTTAAACCTCCAAATATATGATCAATACAAATTGAATTAAGATTAATTAAGATTCATTTTTGTCATATAAATAGCTATTCAATAATTGTTTTAGAAATCACCTATATGAATATAATGTCATTTTAAATAAACATAAATATTTTTAAAAATGCAAGGCCATGAAGATATTACAAAAGTATATACAATAGAGAAGACTTTAGGAGAGTAAACAATAGTCTTTAATAAATTAGAGGTGCTTTTGGAGTTGTGAAGAGAGCAAAAAAGAAGTCAAATGGAGAAATGTATGCTGTCAAAATCATCAATAAGTAATTTTTTAAGTGATTATAAATTAGAGACAATTTATCAAATGAAGACTTACAAGCCTTACAAACTGAAGTTGAAATTCTGACCTAAGTATAATATTTTATTTACTTTTAGATTGATCACCCAAATGTAGTGAAACTCTATGAAATATATGAAGATGATACCAATTTTTATATGGTATTAGAGTTGATGACTGGAGGTGAAGTAATAATTTATATTAAAACTTCAAGCTTTTTGAAAGAATAGTTGAAAAAGATCATTTTAGTGAAAAAGAGGCTGCTGCTACATTGAGACCAATTATAGATGCTCTTACATATTGTCATAAAATGGGAATTGTACATAGAGATCTTAAACCTGAAAATTTACTATATTCAAGCAAAGAACCTGGAGCATTATTAAAAGTAAGTGATTTTGGATTGGCTCGTTTTGTTACAAATGATGAGGTTATGATGACTTAATGTGGTACTCCTGGTTATGTAGCACCTGAAATTCTTTCTGGTCATGGATATTCAGAAGCAATTGACTTTTGGTCTGTTGGTGTTATACTTTATATTATGTAGATATATAATTTAACATATAGGTTATGTGGATTTCCACCTTTTTATGATGATGATAATGATAAATTATTTAAAATCATTAAAACCGGGTAGTTCTCCTTTCCATCACCATATTGGGATAGTATTAGCAATGAAGGTAAGAATAATTATGGAATATAATTAAAGCTAAGGATCTAATTAAAGGTCTTTTAACAGTTGATCCAACAAAGAGATTTGGAACAGAAAAAATAATGAAACATCCTTGGTTAGTGAACAATACAGCAAAATCAATTCCAAACATTTAAAATAAGATGAAAGAATTTTATGGTAGTGCAACTATGAAAGTATTATTTAATCTAATAATTTCAATTAGAAAATGGGTAACTTTGTTAAGTTAGCATAAAGATGGGGTAAATTATCATAGATAAAAAAGAAATGATTAATTATATCATCAAGATAATTATCGATAATTTAATATATAAATTTCTGGTTAAGCCTGGCGATTCTTTATTTTTTATTACATCAAATACAAATATGTGTATAAATAATAATTATTTTAATGATATCAGCAAAAACATTCTAATTATTACCAGTTGCTCTTAACAAAACAGAAGAGGCATTTACAGGATTTCTTTATACATCAAAAAATACACATGCTTAATTAAAATAAAAATATAATGTTTAAGGCGATTTATTTATATAGATTAATGGATATGTTTTTTAATTGCAAGGAGTAAGTGAATAATTTAATAGTTTAGGAAAATGGATATAAAGATGATTCAATAGCAGGAAGCAAATATGTAAGATAATTATTGAGAATGTCATTTACAGATAAGATTGACGTGGCAGTGTTTACACTTCCAAAAGATAAGGAATATAGATTAGGAGTACTTGATGTTGAATTAGATATTGTCTAATAATAAGGAAGTTTAGATAAAGTAGAATTGAATTCAGAAGATTTAGCACCATTTTTGAAAAGAGCATATAATGGATAATTCTTTAGAGCTGGTTAAATTCAGCTATTTTTATTTGAAGGAAATACTTACTTGTATAAAGTATGCTAATCTAATTTAAAAATCATAGGTTACTCGAACTGATGTTTTGAGTGTAGGAGTAGAATCATAATAAGTTAAATTTATGGGAGGTGGTATGTTAGTTGATGAAACTGAAATTGAATTTAGTATTAGATAAGGAGTAAATCAATTGAAAATGAAGAATGCTTCAACACATACAGCTAGTATATTTAGAGAAGACTTTTCTTTTGATAAATTAGGAGTAGGAGGTTTAGATAAAGAATTAGCTAATATATTTAGAAGAGCATTTTCATCTAGAAGATTTCCATAAGCATTTCTTGAAAAATATGGAATCAAACATGTTAAGGGTCTTTTATTATATGGTCCTCCAGGAACTGGTAAAACTTTAATTGCAAGATAATTGGCTAAAGTATTGAAAGCTAGACCTCCTAAAATTGTAAATGGACCAGAAATTTTCAGTAAATTTGTTGGAGAAGCTGAAGAAAATGTTAGAAAACTATTTGCTGAAGCCATATCTGATTAAGAAACAAAGGGTGATTAAAGTGATTTACATATAATTGTTTTTGATGAAATGGATGCTATATGTAAATAGAGAGGTTCAATTAATTCTGGATCAGGTGCATATGATAATGTTGTTAATTAATTGTTATCAATGATTGATGGAGTTAATTCTCTTAATAATATATTGGTCATTGGTATGACTAATAGAAAAGATTTAATTGATGAAGCTGTTCTTAGACCAGGGAGATTTGAAGTTCATATTGAAGTAGGATTACCTGATGAATAAGGTAGATAATAGATTTTGAATATTCATACTGAAAATCTAAAAAAAAATAATGCACTTGATAAAGATGTAAATTTAGAGGAATTAGCTTCAATTACTAAAAATTATACTGGAGCTGAAATAGAAGCAGTAGTTAAATCTGCATCATCTTTTGCATTTTAGAGAATGTAGAGTATTTTTGATTTCTAAAAGAAATTAACAAAATAGGATGAACTTCAAGTTAGAAGAAGTGATTTTATGAATGCATTAGATGAAGTTAAACCTTAATTTGGTATTGATTCAAATAAATTTGATTTATTACTCAAAAATAGATTAATTGATTTTGGTGATGAATTTAGAAAACTTTAAAAAATCTTAAAGAATACAATAGATTAAACTAGATTTGGTAAGAACTCTTAATTAAATTCTGTTTTATTGGAAGGAGAATAAGGTTCAGGTAAAACAAGTGTAGCAGCATGGTTGGCAGTAGAATGTGGATTTCCATATGTTAAATTAATATCTCCTGAAACATTTATTGGTTTAACTGAAGGTGCTATAATTAATTAGATGGTTAGAATATTTAATGATGCATATAAATCATCACTTTCATGTATTCTGATTGACAACATTGAAAGACTTATTGAATATGTAGATATAGGTCCTAGATTTTCTAATGCAATTTTATAGGCATTATTAGTATTAATCAAGAGATTGCCTGATAAAGTAATAAATAATTATTAAATAATTTTAGTCTTAATGTAGACTTTTGATTATAGGTACAACATCATAATATCAAATAATGAAATAATTAGAAGTTGTCTCTTGTTTTAATGTTTCATTTAAAGTTCCAAATTTGGTTAAACCTGATGAGATTAAATTGGTTATCAAAGATTACTTGACAACTTCACCTTAATCATAAAATAAACTTTAATTATCTTAATAATAAGAATAGTAAGTCATTACTATTGCATCATAAATTAAGGATATTCCAATCAAGAGATTATTGATGTTACTTGATATGGTTGGTGCTTAAGAAAAAGGTTTGAATGTTGAAGAATTCATGATATGTTACACCACTGTAATGATGAATCATCTTTGAGATTAATTATTATTATTATTAAAAATATATATATTATTTATTTATTAATAAGAATTCTTAATTAATCCATATATTAATATAATAGAATAATCATTCTACAAAATCATTAATTAATAATTTGGGACTTTATTTCTTTTTTAACTCATGTTATATTTATAATAATTTAATTAAATTTGGATCCATTAAAGAAATAAGTTTATTAGTAATAGGATCATCTAAATTTTCAAGTAATTAATCCAATACTTATTAAGCTTCTAATGATTTTTCTTTTAATCCTTTATATGGTTTAAGTAAAGAAGAATATTAATAATTTTCACTTTATTATTAATTTGTAGGATCAAGACTGATTAATGGTTTAGGTAGAAAATCAAATAGTTAGACTTACTCTTTTGATAATAAAATCATTTTTAATTTATCTATTTCTTATAACTTGTCAATAATAAAAAGTATATCAAGACATTTATCTAATTTTTAAACTGAATAACTTAATTATTTGTACTTTCCTTCTTTTTATCTTTAAAATATTGAATACATTATTACCCACATTTCATATATTTAAAATAATCAAATGGATTAAAATGTAATTTAAGTGTTGCAACATTAAAGAACTTTCTAAATGCAGAATTAATTCCTTTTTACAGTATTTTATCATTTTCAGGAGAATTAGTAAAAACTTAAGAAGACTTTTCTGTTTAAGCAGAATTAAGTCCATCTACTTTTAAAATTTTTAATTTTGCTCTTCCTCTTGGAAATCTAGCACTTGTTTTTGATTTTAATGAGTTTAACATTATTGAAACATCATTTTCATTAGTTTAAATATTCTCTTAAAATCCATTAAGTTTATCAAAATGTTTATTTTTATTATCAGTTTCATCTGAGTCAGTTTATTTTTAACCTTCAAAATTGAATAAACTATTTATGATTTCCATTTTAAATGACATTTAAGAAAATGGTTTGACTATTATTGAAAATGCAAGCATCAACAATTCCCATAAGCCTCCTGCTTAAGCCAAAATATCTTATAATTTTGGATATATTCTATAACTAATATTCTCAGTATTTGATAATCTTATCAAAACCGTTGCCAAGGATTCATCATTATTGAAATCAATTATTTCTTAACTTTTTTAATACCTTATAGTAGCATCTTTTCTAACTAATTCATCTAATAATCCTTCTTCAGTCAATGTAGTTATTGGTTGCATAAATAAAGTAATGTCTTTTGTTACTTAACTAGATATAGTTGTTTAAATCTCTTCAACCTTTGGAACATTTGGTTATTGATAATTCCTTAGATCAATATTATATGAAGATATTTAAAATTATATATAATTCCTCCTTAATTTATCTTACATTTCCTCTTTTGACTTACATATCACACTCTCACCTATTTATATAATATAAACTACTATTGCTTGTATCATTAACACATAATTAGAAATTTACATATATATAAGTATAGTTATCCTAATCAGAAGTACCAGTTAAACTTAACTCTGAAATTTTCTCCCAATCTATACAATAAGTATTATTGAAATCAACATTATCTAATTACTCTTCAATCTCCTCGAAAGTTATTCCAATCTTCGCACATTTACTTAAGGGAATCTCTGTTTTTGTGAAATGTTAAATTGTTTTATTATTGACTCTGCTATTTATATTAACTCATACATTCTTTAAACTCTATTAACCATAAATGCATTTACTCTATAAATTGATTCATCTATATAGTTTTTCTAATTATAGTTCTAAAAGGCAAATTATAAAGTGAAATTTTCAGAAACTAATGGATAAATTGGTATTTCTTCATAATAGATTTCTGAATATAGAGTTTAGAATTCTTTTCTCATTCCTAGTTATACAAATTTGTTAACAATATATGTTATTATACACCCAAACATCAATAGTGTCATTAATGCTCCAAATAAAGATTGATGTAAGCGCTTCTTTTAAATCATTAGTTCAACAGGTGATGCAAAAATATCTATTTTTTTAATTTAACGCTGTATTTGCTTTAATTTATTTTGTTTCATCTATAAAATTTAAATTTATATTATATATCATTTATAATATTTTGATTTGATGATTTAATCACTTATTATTCATTAAATTAATAATAATAATTCTGAGTTCAGAAAAGAAAAATGAATTATTAATTGAAAACATTTCAGATGCAATCAAGTAATTAAAAATTATATTTTGAAACTATCGATTATAATTAATTTTAAATAAATAACACTAAATTAAGAACTTATCTGATTGATTCATTAAGTATACATATATTCAAAAAATATAAATTAGTTCAATTAAGAGAATAAAAAAATTATTGATAATTAAATAATTTATGATCAATTACAAATCAATTAATTCAATAACTTAATATTAATATTTCATAAGTTAATGAAAAATTAAGAAAACTCAAACTTAATTATATTAGTTAAGAAAACATATTGTAGTACTATAATTATAATTATAGATAAGTTCTTATTAAACTAATTATTGTTTTATTTTTGTAAAGTTTATTATATTCTAAATAGTTCATAT